AACGACCTGACTCCCATGGTGTGGGAGTACCACTTAAAATTACCGTCATGCGCCGAGGTTGTTTCTTTAAAAACAAAAACAAATGGCCCGGGTTTTGTAAATTTTCTAGCCTAGGCAAATTCCAATCGGTCTTTTTAGTTGCTTTCGATTCTAGAAGAAATGCAGGCTTGCAGAGACTTCATGAATGAGTCCTACATTCTTTGACAGACGGACGAGTGACGACACGTTGTGTGAGTTGCAGCGGTCCTCCCAAGGTCCACACCACAGAAGAGAAGCTCGAAAGATCAACATTCTAACTGTGGTCATATTCAGTTCCACGTGGCAACTATGTGACGCATTTACTGCCCACACCTGTGCCACTCAGTTAGAGTTCGGTTTATGGTGTGCGACCACAACCGCCCCCACCAAGTTCAAATTATGCAGGGTTTGCCAGGCCACAAGTGCAAGCGTGCGAGGTGAATTAGGTGGACTCTATATGTGATGGATTATACCTCCACAAAAACATAACGGGCGTTTGTCACAGTAATGTGTGTCACAGAGGCCGGATGAGTCAATACTGACTAGATAGAGATGGAGAAAGCGACGCTGTCAGTCCTAGCGCTACATGTGGCTAAAGACCCGATGAAGTGCAATTCAGGTCACTGCAATAAACGCTGATACCTCTAAAACGGTTACCAGAATCATTAGTGAGTACAAAGTGCTTAGAAGACATGAGAAAGCGAAAAAAAACTCACAGGAATCCAGGTGTTTTGAGGATTTGGGGACCACCGAACTCTTGCGGATACTGATGAGCAAAGAAGTAGTAGACATGGCCGACAAAGATGCCGACGAGCTCCATCAGAGCACTGTGAATAGAGAGGGGTTAGGAAAGAGAGCGCTGAAGGGTTTCTTACCTGCCGCGAATGATGATATTGAAGACTACAAGAGCCCATGGAAAGTAGATTGCCTTGAATTGGGTGCCGAACCAAAACTGGACGACTGCCTCCCGGTTCATCTGGCACCACACGTACATCACACTAAGGACCATCGGCTCAAACAGCAGCTGTACAGGAAAAATGCGCTTTGTCATGAGAGTGAGAGGGGGCAGGTACGTTTTAATGCGGCATTTGATTGGGTAGCAATGAATGAGGGAGGCATTGGAAAAGAAGTCGAGTCTTTTATGCCGCATAAAACTAATGTCCCTGAAGTCAAAAATGTCGCAAGAAAGAGAAAACTGCGATATGAAATTTTGGAGATAGTTGAGTAGCCTACATCGGTAAAAATCCCTTACTTTATTCTCGAAATAACGTTCACTCGATTGGAGTGCACGGATCAAGTAGGCGCTGACACGCTTACAGAAAAATATACACA